TGTATGTATATGTATATGTATGTAAGTGCGCACATTAAACTTAACTTCTATTTCAATTAATATTTTCTTCCTGCATTTATCTTAATTTTAACCCACATAACTCACATTTCTCGATCGATGTATGTATAATAAATTATTGATTTATTTATTGATCTCTAACGTAACGTTCCCCTCAAACTTTCCTCCTCACTTTAATCAACCAAAAATATTTTTTGTTTTTCTTCCTACAATTTACTAATATTGAATATCGTAAAATTTCAGGCGATGCTGACGATCGACCACCGCGCAAGAAAAAAGCACGTGATCCGCAAGTAAGTAACTGTAGCAATTACGATACGATATATGATTAAACTACGCTATATATACACGTGAATTGGCTATGGAATGAGACGGGGCAATATCAACTATATGATAGAGCGAACAGCACAGACAGACCTTAATATGTGATTAATTATGATCGAGCAAAGCCAATAGAAAGCTGTTTAAATATAACGTAACGGAACGTAGCATATCGTAACGTAACGTAATGGCATAGCTTTGATAGTTGCATTGATTCTATTTAACAACGATTAACATTCCATTCAAATGCTCCCAATGTTATTATTGTGAACTGTTGTTTATATTGTGAACCGTTTCTATGTGGTGCTGTAGGTTGTATAGAGAATCTGTAAAGTTTTGTTCCTTCAGAGAGGAGTTGATAATGCTATAGGCTTAGAATGTGACAATCATAATTATAATAATAATTAATGATTCATAAATGTTCCTTGTTAAAGAGCGAGGGCTTCTCGTAGAATTAACGCCCTTGTTTAATATTGTTTTGAAATTTCTTTTTAATCATGAGAAATCTGTAGACCTTACGTTTATTAGACACTCCAACTATATAATTATCGTTGTAACAGCATCTTTGGAGCACATGCCTATATCGTCCTCAATGCTCCTTCCACCTCATTTAGACTTCACAAACCTCTTTTGGAGCGCTTAATTTTCCCAGTCTAAATAGACCTGAATAGTATTTTCTTTCTCAATAGTATTTTATTACATGCTAAATTCTGTAGTATTCATTTTCTGCATTTTATAAGGATACGAATTTGAAGACTTAGGGTTAGCTAAAAGTCCTATGGATATTAGTAGCATCTACGACAGCTTTATAGCTCAACCCTTAGCCACGAGCATGCAAACTGCATCTTGCTCCATATCTCAGGAGGTCTCTAAGCTTCAATTGGATAGATCTGGATATAGCTAATATAATAATCATAAAATAATAAGAGCTTCTTCGTAAGTCTCTTCTGGTGTGTGTGTGTGTGTTCGCAATAGTGCCTCTTTCATCATCATTCTCTCTCTCACTCTCTCACTCACGCTCTCTGTTGATTGCCTCTCATTTTGTAAATCCAGAGTATGATAGGCAGTATGATGACGAGTTTGCCAACGGCGCAACAGCATCAGCAAATGCAAATGCATCTGGAACATGTGGATCAGCTTCTGAACACCATGCAGGATGTCACCACGCCCACACATCAAATGAGTAAGTAGATCAATTGTCATTGTGACTAAACTGGACTCATCTCGTTCTCGTTCTCATTTACCTTGCCATATATCCATTTCCATTTCCATTTCCGTTTCCGTTTCCGTTTCGTGAACTGTGTCTGCGTACGTTCGTCCATCCCAGATACCCTGTTGAGCAATGCCAATACGATGGTCGCAGCGGCCATGATGAACAACAACAATAAGACGGCGCCGAGTGGCGGCAGCTTCGATCCGGGCAATATGTTGCATTCGTCGGGCCATCATAAGAACGGGGTGGCCGCAATGAATACGACGGCGTCCGCTGCTGCTAGAATACCGCCGCATGGCTATGGCGGAGCAGCGGCAGCTGGCGCTGCTGCGCAGGCGGCGGGCAGCGTGGGTGGCATACGGATAGCTAGCAATCTGCACAAGCAGCCCGAGGCGAGCGATCACCATGCGGCGCTGGCAGCGGCGCTCGCTTCCACCGGCAACAATAGTAGTAGCAATGCCAACAATAACAACAACAACAACAACAGCAATGCGGGCATGGGCGTTAACGATGGCCTGTCGAGCGCCTCGCTAGCCGCCGGCCTCAAGCAGATACCGCAATTCGATGATCCCGTGGAGCAGTCGCTGGCCTCCTTGGAGTTTAGCGCCTCCTCCACGGGCAAGTCCTCACTCACGGATAACTTTTTAATGGCCCACCAGGCGCACCTGATGCAGCAGCCGGGCGGCAATCAGCAGCAGACGGCGCAGCAGCAACAGCAATTCGCCCTGCAGCAGCAACAACAGCAGCAGCAACAGCAACAACAGCAGCAGCAGCAGCAACAGCAAATGGACTACATGACCGAGCTGCTGACGAAGAGCGTGGAGAACGTGGCCGGCATGAATGGCAACCATTTGCTGAACAACAGCCTCTTCAATCTGGACATGGCCACGGCTGCCTACCAGCAGAAGCAGCACGGCCATCAGACGCAACAGCAGCAACAGCAACAGCAGCAGCAACAGCAGGCGCACAACAATGGCTACAATGTGACCGACTTTAGTGGGATGGCTGGCTTCGATAATCTCAATATGTCCTCGTCCAGCTTGCTGGATCATACGATGCCAATGGCCATGATGATGGGTAATGCGGGTGGCAAGCTGAAGGATGGTGACCAGCAGCAGCAGCAGCAATTGCAGCAGCAGCAACAGCAGCTCCACCAGCAGCAGCAACAGTTGCAGCAGCAGCAGCAGCAGCTGCAGCAGCAGTTGCAGCAACAACAGCTGCAACAACAACAGCTTCAGCAGCAGCAGCAGCAACATCATCACCAACAGCAGCAGCAGCAGCAACACCACCATCAACAGCCGCAGCAGCAACAACATCAGGTCGGCAGTCAGGCGGCCAACAAAATGCTAATCATACCGAAGCCCATCGAATCGATGATGCCCAGCCCGCCCGACAAGCACCAGTTGCAGCAGCAGCAGCAGCAACAACARCAGCAGCAACATCAGAAAGTGCTGCCACCACAGCAATCGCCCTCCGATCTGAAGATGCACGGCGTTGGTGCACACGCCGGCTTCCCGGTGTTCAAGACTGTTGAACAGAATCTAAAGAATGCCAGCTCCTGGTCGTCGCTGGCATCGGCCAGCTCGCCGCAGAACACGGCGACAACGTCGAGCAAGCCCAAGCCGGCCATGGACTCGTTCCAGCAATTCCGCAACAAAGCCAAAGAACGTGATCGCCTCAAGCTGCTCGAAGCGGCCGAGAAGGAGAAGAAGCACCAGAAGGAAGCTGCCGAGAAGGAACAGCAGCAGCAGCGCAAGCATCACAAGTCCTCCTCATCCTCGTCGGCTGCGTCAGCGGCGGCGGCTGCTGCTGCTGCCGCTGCCGCGGCAGCGTCGGCAACACAGGCGGCGGCTGCTGCTGCGCTCGCCAATGTGGCTGGCAATCCAGCCAGTGTTGGCAGCAGCAACAGTAACAGCAACAACAACAATAACAACGGCAACAACAACAGCAGCAACAACAATGCCGGCAACTCGGGCGCTCAGTCGGGCTCGCAGAGCAGCGGGGAACGCGACCGGGCGAGCAGCAGTGCCACAGATGCATCGCGCATCGGCAGCAGCAGCGGCGGCAACAACAGCAGCAACTCGGCCAACAGCAATGGACCTGGCAGTGCCGGCAGCGGCAGCGGTGGTGCTGCTGGCGGTGGCGCCAATAGCGGTGGCAGCGCCAGTGGCGGACATTTGGCCAACACCGGCAGCAATAGCAACAGCGGCGGCGGCATCGGTAGCGGTGCGGCCAGCAGCAACAGCAACAGCAGCCTTGGCGGCAACATTGGCACCGGCTCCAGCAGCCAGGGCGGCGGCAACAGCAGTGGTGCAGGCGGTGGCGGCGGCAGTGCGGCTAGCGGCAGCAACGGCAGCAATCTGGGCATTGGTGGTGGCGCCTCAATTGGTGGCGCTGCCTCCGGCAATGGCCATCAGTCCGCCAGCAGTGCCCAGGCTCAGCATGCGGCAGCGGCGGCTGCAGCTGCAGCGGCAGCGGCACAAGCCACCGCAGCGGTCTCTGCCTCAGTGCTGGCTGCCTCACCACTGGGTGCCATGGAAAGTGGACGGTTAGTGGTCAAAGCGAAACCTCCTCAGGGTCATCCATGTAACTCATCCACTATGCTGCTCTCTTGTTTTTCTTCATGTTTATAGGAAAAGCGTGCACGATGTTCAGCCACAGATAACGCGCATGGACGACATTAAGGCGTCGCCGGGTCAGGGACAGAATTCGCCGGCGCAGCAATCGCCGCAGGATCGTGCAGCTGCCAAACGTGCGGAGCAGCGACGCGCCGAACAGGAGAGACGCAGACGCGAGGCGGTAAATAGACAGAGAATTTTGGAGAGATGTGGAGTGGGATTTCACGTTTCTATAATATATCTTTCTTCTTCTTCTTCTATGCAGATGGCTGGACAAATTGATATGAACATGCAGAGCGATCTCATGGCCGCCTTTGAGGAGACTCTGTAGGCAACGGCCGCGACGGCTGCGTCGTCGACAAGCAGATCCCACAGCAAGTCCCACAGCGGTGGCCACAGATTGCATACACATAGGCGTCGGTCGCATCACCACAGAAAACACCGTGAATAAAACAAGAACAACAAAAACAACAACAACAAATATGACAACTAATGGGAAAAAAGGACAACACTAAAGCGTTGACAACAGCAAGGCAAGGCTGGCACAACAACAACAACAACAACAGTAGCAACAAAAAAATTAAATCATAAGGAGTGCGCGTACAAGCGAAACACGGCAACAGCAACAACAACAACAACAACAACATCGACAATGTTATAATTGTTAAACATAAGCAATGTTCGAAGTAATTATAATTATGTTAAATCAACTACAATTACACACACATGGAATGCATACCATTACCAATATGTACATATGTATGTATGCATTGTGTATAGATTCAAGCAGGCAAGCACACACGCACACACACACACACATACACACACGTTTATACAGACAACACAAGAGTACACTAACAAAAAAAGGCAAATTTCCTTTGGTTATAAAACAAAAAATCACACACAAAAAAAATAAATAAAAAATAAATAAATAATT